TCCTTCCTGAGACATACTGAATTCTCTAATAGGAAGGCACTTTTCTGAACATACTCTCGGTGTGGGTTTCTCAGTGGTGAAGTGGAGAATCTCTCATCTGTGCTGCCTTCAGCAGCTGTGTAAATACAGCTGGGAACTTGCAAGTGGACAGGGTCAATTGTAAATAGGTTTCCTTTCCTTTATATGTTTTGGAATGCTGTTCTGAGAACAAGGAACCATGAATTTTAGCTGAGCCCCCACAACTGCAACTCTCACACACATATTTACGAGACCTGCTGGGTTTGGATAAAGGCTTGCCCTTCATGGACATGTAATTTCTTCAGCTTCAGGCTCTTCTTAGATTTTCTATTGTACAATACCCTGAATCTCATAACAAACACAAACATCACAAATCCTTTACTCTTCTACATATTGGGTGCAAGGGAAGTATATTAGTTTGCTAGGGCTGCCACAAAAGACTGGGTGGCTTAAACAACAAACATTTATTTCCTTACAGTTCTGGAGACTGAAAGCCTGAGATCAAGGTGTCATTGGGATTGGTTTCTTCCGAGTCCTCTCTTCTTAGTTTATAGCTGGCTATCTTCTCCATGTATCTTCAGGTGGCCTTCCCTCTGTGTGCATCTGTCTCCTAACCTTCCTTCTTAGGACACCAGTCACTTCAGATCAGGGCCGAATCATATGATCTCATTTTACCTTAATTACATTTTTAAAGACACTATCTCCAAATACAGTCTCAATCTGGGATGCTGGCCTTCAGCATATAAATTTGGGGAGAGACACAATTCAGCCCGTAACAGGAAGGAAACATGAGGAAAAGAGGGATGGCAATAAAAAAATTACTCAAAGCTAGCCATTGGAACAATGAATATGTGGGCTCTACACTCAACAGGTACAAAACTGAACTCATTATCACCTCCCAAATCCACTTTTCTTCCTGTATTTTCTGTTTCAGGAAAGACCATCATCATCATCTAAGCAATCACAAAGCCAGAAACCTGGAATCATCTTAGATTCTTATTGCCAGCTAATCTCCCATGCTCTACAACCCATAATGAGCCCTGCAATTCTACCTCCATGGTGTAACTAGACTTCTTTTCTGTTTTTCTTTTCCATGACCTCTACCTTAAGTTGGAGCATTCATAATTACTTAGCTGGATTACTTCCTTGATTCTGCTCCTTCTCCCCACTCAAATTCATCCTCCAATTTGCTCTGAGAATAATCTTTCTTGGAAAAAAAATCTTGTCCTGTCACTTTCAGATTAAATTTCTTCAATTGTTTTGTATTGCTTTAAGAATAGCATTCAAGACCGGGCACGGTGGCTCAAGCCTATAATCCTAGCACTCTGGGAGGCCGAGGCGGGTGGATCGCTCAAGGTCAGGAGTTCGAGACCAGCCTGAACAAGAGCGAGATCCCGTCTCTACTAAAAAATAGAAAGAAATGATCTGGACAACTAAAAAAAAAAAAAAAAAATAGCATTCAAATGTCTTAACTCAAGCATGTAATATAATTCTTTCCCTTCAGTCTGATTGGTTAAACTTAGGTCACATGCTTATCCCTAGATCATTATCAGATCCAAGTAACTGAATAAACTGATTTGCTCAAATAATTAAGATCTACTCAAGGTCACTTTCCCTGGATCGTGTGGCTCCGTGGGGAGGAATGGAGACCACGACAAAATCAGGGTTTCATTACAGAAGAGGAAAGTGACAATGGATGATAGGTAGGCAACCAATAATGTCTACTAGAGTCTGTTCCTTCATGGAATTTATAGTCTAGTGGTAAAGACAGAAAAATAAAGTCAAAGTTAGGGTGCAGAGTGATAGGGACAAGAGTAGATTTCTGCACAGGGTGCATTCTGAACACAAAGACTACTTTCTAATTGGATCAGGGATTCAAAGACAGTTTCTTAAAGGAGGTAAAGCCTAAACTGAATTTTTGAAGGCGATTCAAGAGTTAGTAAATTGAAGAAAGGGGCAAGGGGCATTCCAGAAGCAGGAACAGTAAGTGAAAAGGCTCAAGAGTTGTGCAACAGTGTAACTCACTGGGGAGCTGCACATCATTCAGTCTGACCAGAGAGGGACAAGAGATGAGGCCAGAAGGGGAGGGAGGGGCAGATCATGCAGCACCATATAAGTTTTAGTCTATAAAGCTATCTATAATATCTATTGCTACCATATATAAAATGCTAACTTATATGCCAAATACTACATAATTTTACATAATAAAGTACTTCAGTACTATGGTATAAACCCTAATTGAAAGATGAATAAGCTGAGACTAAAAGGTTAAATAATTTATCCAAGGTCACCCAGAGCTGACTCTACCCACTCTTCTACATAGCCATTCACCTGGAGCTCAAACTCATGGATCCTGTTACTCCAAGCAGTGACAAAACTGAGACTGCAAGTAAAGTTGCAGGAATGTATATTTAAGATATGTTTGGCTATACCGGGAAACATCTGAGAATGAAATATCTGAGGGAGAAGGAAAATTCTGTATTTAAAGTATGTCTTCTCCTTTTGACCAAATACTCTGATGGGCTGTTCTTTGGTATACTTGCCAGGGGCAGAACACAAGCATCAGGTTCTGACCCAGGGTTCTTATTTTCTTACATCATCTGGATGTCACCAGTCATCAGTCAAATTCTTAGCTCAGGGTCTGCCCCTGCCTCTGCTCAAAATGCATCCCCTCCCCTTTCCTCCCTCTTCAGGTTGCTGACTCTTGCTCATACTTCCCAAATTCACTCAGGCATCACCTCCCTTAGGGAACTTTCTTTAAACCCCTGGTCTGATTTGGAAAGTGCACAGTGCACCCTGTGCAGAAGTCTACAATTGTCCTTGTCACACTGCTCCTTAACTTTGGCTGTCTCTCCACTACCTCACCCCAGACTACAGATTCCATGGAGATAAGGACATTGCCTACTTCCTTTTCCTCTTCCCTAAGAAAATCCTGATTTGGTTCAGGAGGTCTCTGTCCCTCCTCCATGCAGTACACAGGACTCAAGTGAAGCTACCTCCTTCCACCTCAAGGAATGGATCTGATGGTTTAAGCCAGTGGTTCTCAACCAGGGGTGAGTCTATCCGCCCCTACTTCCCACCCCTGGAACATCTGGCAGTGTATGGACAACACATATTTGGTTGTGACACCTGAGTATGCTACTGGCATCCAGTGGGTAGAGGCCACACGTGCTGTTAAATAAATATCCTACAATGAACAGGACAGACTCTCCCTCCACCCCCACCCCATCAAAGAATCATCCAGTCGCAAATATCAGTATCACTGAAGGCTTGAGACATCTTGGTTTAAGTCAATCTTTGAGTGACTTTGCCTCCTGATCGTTAATGGTCTAGGGATAAATATATGCCCTAAGTAATCAATCAGACAGAAGTGAAGCACTGATATTCCATGATTGGGAGAGAGATAGATGAGAAGTTTAGAAAATTAGACTGTGGTCACATTGTGGCTAAACATGGCCTTTATTCTGTAATGAAGCAGGGAATACCATGCTTAAAAAGGAGTTTTAGGAGAGTGGATCTACTCTACAACCTTCAGGATAGATGGGAGTGGGGGAGAGCAAGGCAATCAGGAGGACTGTGAGGCAGCTATTGCTACCTAGAAGGGACTCAAGAATGTTCCTTGGAGAGTTGGATTGTAAGTGTTTTCTAGAACATAGCAGCTGAATAGGCTATCATTCTGATTCAGTGTTCTTATTTCTTAAAAATCTGTTACCTGCAGGTCTATGGTTATAGTAAAAAAAATTAGCATTTACTAAATCCCATGTTTCTCTGCGTTTTGAAAGGACACGTTGGGTAAGTTTTGCATAAACACTGAAGTCTGTGTGTATGTATGCATGTGTGTATGTTTCTCTTGCACAGCCAACTTTTGAACAAATGTTCCTGGGGTGGATTTTGGTAGCCCTTGATGGTGGTGCTCCCTTGGGTTTCCTTTCCAACCTGAATCTTAAAGCGAACACCAAAGATCGAATTTCTGAGGTGCCGTTGACCAGCTTGTCCGGGTTTCAAACACGCAGAAGCAGCCCCCAGTCCTTTTCCCTTTCCCACCACCCAGCCTGCTCCTTACACCTTCCTTCCAGCACTCCCCTGGCAGGGGAACACTGGGCCTGAAGGCATCAGGGAAATTTGTTGAATTTTGTTTCTTCCCTTTGTTCTTAGCCATGGCTCTCAAATAAGTTGGGGTTTTTTTTGCAGGAAAATGACTTGATGTTTTAGATTAATTCAGGGACACTTAGTGGGCTCCCTAAACATCACACCTGGTGCAGCCTAACAGGTATTTGTTGCTACAGTGGCTTTGGTAGCTTGAAAGGCAATCCATAGTCCTGGCAACATGCTTACAGAAAACTTAATGTATTCTTTTAGACTTGTGAGTGTAAAGTATTGCTTTTTAAAGTTTGCTATTTTTGTACCCGATATGTTTAAATCTCAAAAAATAAGACATTTTGTAAACATATGTTTAAGAATTGAGTTTTGTAAATTTGCCTTATTTTCTCTGACTGTTACAGTGGAAAACATTGCTTTCAGTGAGCAGGGGTAAAATGTGGATAGCACATTTATAAGACATTATGATCCTTTATATCTTTTTTTTTTTCTTGGCAAAGCAATTTAATTAGGAAATAATCTTCTCCTCCAACATCTGACAGTTACCATAAAATGATATCCTGCTTTGTTGGCAACAAAACCAGATTGTTTGAGTTTGTTGCAAAATTTTGAGCTATTACATTACTCTGAAACGATAGATTTTAAATAAGAAAGATGAGTTTTTTTAAAAAAAACAGAAATGGCAAAGCACTTTTATTTTTTAAAGCAATCCTCAATTTAAGAAAGTACAATGTCAGAGGGGCGGGCAGTGGGGAACGTGTTAAATCTTCAGGGAAGAAGGAAGCACCAGGGGAGTATGTCTCGAGCTGATCACGCCAGGCCGCGGTTCCTGCCGTATGTGAGCGCGTGTGACTGTGTGCACGTGTGTGTGTGTGTATGTGTGCACGCGCGGCCGCACGACCTCCGGGCCGGGCCCTGGGGTGCTCCCCGCCCCGGGCTTCCCCGCGGGCGGGAGCGGGGCGCGCGTCCCCAGCCGGGCGGCGGGGCCCGACCCGGGCCGTGTGCAAACGCGTGCAGCGCGGGCTCTTTGTGTGTCTGTGTGCGGCTCCGCGCCGCCGCGGGCACCATTTTCTGCTTCGCTCAGGACAGGCACATAAAAGGGAAGGCGGCTGCCGCCCGTCGCCGTCCTCTTTCCCTCAGATGCCCTCTGCTGCAGGTTTATTATTACAGTACGGGCCGCGCCGCCTCTCCCCGCGGCCCTGGCTGGCCGCCGGGCTGTGCAGCACCCTGGCCGCCTTCGCGCCTGGCGCGCCCCCAAACCGCCTCCTCCGCCTCCTTATTTGTCTGAAAAGCAACCGCACGTCGAAGCGGAGAAGCTCGCCGGGGGCGGAGGAGGCAGGCCCGGGGTTTGTGCGCGCCGTGCTCCCGGGGCGGGGCAGGGGCCGGGGCGGCGCGCCGATCTGCGGGTGCGCTTTGTCCCCCGGGCCCGGCGCGGCGCAGTGGGGGCGGCGCGGCGCGCGGGGCGCCCGGGGCGTGGGTGCTGGGTGCCGGGTGCCGGGGCGCGCGCGCGCGCGCGTGTTGGCCGCTCGCCGACGGGGCCCCGAGCCGCCGATTCCTGCCGAGTAAGCAGTCTGGCTCCTAGGCGGCTGCACAGTGGCAGCAAGGCTGGGGCGCTGGCGCCGCGCCAGCTCCATCAGAATTAGCTCATTGTTCACTAGCACACCAGCGGGAGAGAGGGAGGAAGAGAGAGAGAGAGGAAGAGAGTGACTCTTAGAGAAAGAGACACACACACACTCTTGGAGAGAGAGCGCGCGAGGCAGGGAGATCTTCCCCTCCTTCTTTTTCCAAGGCTGCACTTCTTGGAAGTGAAGCCGGTTTGGGTTTTGTTTCCCTTCCCCCCTCCTCCCTCCTCTTCCTCCACCCCTTTCCTCTCCCCCTCCCTCCCCCCACTCCCCCAGCTGTCTTTCTAGCATGATGCCCTTTTTCATCCACATTTGTGTTTCAGGTGTAGAGAGGAGAGAGAGTGAACAGGGAGCGGGGCTTTTGTCTGTAAGTATATGCCATTCCTATCCCCGGCTGGGAGCGCTGCTTTCTCTTTTGTGTCGATTCCTTGCCCTTGCTCTTAGCTGGACCCTTCAACCCTGCAGAGTTCATGCTTCTTCCCTCTAAATTTTGAAGAGCTGAAGCGTGTACCTTGAGCATTTCGGTTATGCTGCATTAAGACTGGAATTTAACTTGGGCTTTTTCTAAAATGCACAAGTTAAGAGGGAGAAATGAATTCTTTTGGGAAGGGGTGGGGTTTTTTGCTTGTTGGTGTGGTTAAATTTGTTCTTGATCTTAAGGCATTGTTACAAACTGTTTTGTTTCTTTGCATTAAATGCACTTTGGTGCATGCAAGGTTCCCCCCCTCCCTTTTTCGAAGTGAATTTGCGTCCCTCCATCCTTACACTAGATTACTCCTTTCAACGCTGCTGCTGCCGCCGAGGGTCTTTTCAGGCATTCGATCTTGCAACACTTTTTTCTGCATTTTCTTAAAAGCAGTTGAACTTTGGTGGGGGTGGGGGAGAGCTTAAAACTAAATGACTGCTTTCTTCTTGGTGATGATAATAACATGATTTGTATTTATATGTATCTATAATAACATTATAGGAAAACTCTAAGAGCTTATGATACCCTTTTAGAGAACTTTTAGTTTCTCCATTCATCTTAATTTTTGCCATAACTATGTTAACAAAAGAGCTGTGTTCTGTTGACATAAAGGTTGAGGGCAAATCACTGCAGCATGTACATTAATGTTTATTTGGTTTAGGGAGAAGGGCATAATGGTGTATATTCCTGACTTCCCGCCCCCTCCCCCCGTAGGGTTTTTTTTTTTTTTTTTAACACGGAAGGTTATGTAATGCAGTGCCATTTCCAAAAATATCCACTCTGAGGCATTACACTACACGGTGGAAGGCTGATTCCTATTCTGTCGTCTTGATTGCAAATATACTGCCAGTAGTATGTCTGGGAACAAAGAGCAGCCAGAAAACAATCTATTTTTATCACTTGGTTCTACTTTTAAGTTGCTAAACCTTTTGAACTTGTGCAATTTAAAGATGAACCAAACACCAAGAATAGCCCAGGACTCTGTAAAGCCAAGTACCAGGGATTCCTTTGTCCCTTGTTGAAGCCTATAGACCACTTGGAAAGCTCTTTCAGAAACCCGCGTGGTTACAATAATTTGCATGTAACTTATCTTAACCACAGAAAATGATTATTTGTCTGTAGGCACTAAAGACGCGGTTTTCATTTGCTGACCTGTAGTGAGGTGATGTGTCTACTGTATTTAAACATATTTTGCAGGTTGGTCTCCCTGGACTGAGGAGAGGGAGAATAGACGCCCAAGACTAAGATTCTCAAAATGGTAAGAATTGGTCATCAGAGGAAATTCTCAGTACTTATCAGTCTTTATTACATATAAATATCAACCACCCACCTTCATCCGCCTCAACCCTTCATTGTTCTTACCCCATCTGACCTTTAAAAGGTTCTATCTCCAGCATGTGGGAGCTTTGCAGTACAGCAATTTATGTGAATTGGATGTGGTGAATTACATCTTTTGACTTGGAATTATTTTGAACAGAAAACTAAAATTCCTCCTTCAGAAGTGAAGATTTAGTTAATTTGAACAACAGAAAGTACACTGTTCTTTAGGAATAGAGTGATATATTGTGACATGCATGGTCCTGGTGACAGCACCAGGGCTCAAATGAAGCAGTGGGTCTTACACATAGCCAGAACTTACCCCCAAATTAGGAGTCTGTCCAACTAATCAAATGGCTACTGTGTGTGCTATTCCTAAGAGCAATAGAGATGAAAAGCATGAATTTTCATATTGATATACCCCATCCATTATATTCAAATATGGTTAGTGTTGTGTTTTCTTGATTTATAACTTAACTTATAAGAGACATCTACCCAGTTTTAGAAGTCAAGCATATCAATCTCTAAACAAAAGTGTAGCTATTTCTGACAAGGATTATGATCTGCAGAGAAGGCAGTTTAATATTTGACTACTAATTAAATAAAGAAATAGAAGGAATAAACATTAAAAGCAGCTGGGTAAGTATAGTAATCTTCTATGAAAAATTTCCTTCTTTGGAAATAAGGTTATACTGAAAAAAATAATAGAAATGTCATAAAACTTTTCAGTGAAGTACAGCATGTCCTATTGCAGATGTTTATATTCTTTAAAACACCTCTTTGCCACTTAGAATGTGTGATTTCCAAATTTAGTTTTAGTTTCTTTCTTTTAAATGAGGGTGGAATTTAATAAATCAAAATTGAATTTGATATACTTGATGTTTTCTTTGAGAACAACCCAAGTATAAGCTTCCAAGGAGAAAAATGAATCAGAGGCAATTAAATGAATTCAGTTTGACTTTTATTAACAAGAAAGCATTTTATTTTTTATATATGTCTCACCTGTCATTTCAACAAGTGGGTGTCAAGGCACCACATAAAGTAGGTCTTGCTTGGACCTAGTTTGATAATGATCAAATTAAGGAACTTGAGGTGGAAGACAAAAGAGGTGAAAATAAAATTAAGCTAATCAGTGGGTTTTACGCAGATGGTTCCTAACTTCATATTAAATTCCTATTAGCCCTTGTCATAGAGTAATAGGTTGGTAATAAAATGGAATGGTACAAAGTATTCGTGTTTATTTTAATTATCTTTTGCTGTGACTGACCACATTGTCTTGCCTTTTAGCTTTTTATCGCAGAACCTTACCCACTCTCTGTCATATAGATAGGTCATGAAGGTTCACGTGTGTTGCAATATGTCAGGTGAACAGTTTGGTTAAACATAAATATGGCCACTGACCCTGCCCTATAGACCCTGCCCTTTCTATCCCTATATATAGCTCAAGCTCAAAGAGTAAGATATCATAGTTCCGTAGTAGGGAGTGGAATGAGCTTTGTAGAAGGCAAGCATACATGCCAAAGCTGAGAATGGAAGTTGGAACCATTCGAATGCAGAAAAGCAAATGCAAATTATTATTACATGTTAATTTCTTACAGTTGTCGTTTATGTATGGTGGCAGAGTGGAAAATCACAATTTGTTGCTCTTGGAAGGATTTTTACTCATGAAAAAATTCTCACAACTTTTTGGTGATCCTTTCATCAAGATGTCAGTCCCTTTTGGCACAAGCCCATTGCCTGAAATGAAACCACTGACAGTTATTGTCTGTGGGTGATTCCAAGTAACTTTCTAGCAATTCTCTTTTTCCGGAAAGTCTGAGCTCTTAAAAGTCTTTGCACATATTAAGGTAAAAAAGTTTAGTTGTGTTTTTTTTTTTTTTAGGAACTGATAATGGAGGTGTCTTGCACCTCATCTTTCTCCTTTTTAGCAGAATGAAGTTAAATTTCTTTCCTTGATTAAAACTGGATTTACTTTGTGGATCTCTGTAACTGACTTACTTAAAGACTTGGCCCACATACAATAAAAACTACTAGGGAAGGAGTAGATTTAACTCCTGGCCATTTCTAGAAAATACGTAAGTGTGGCTTTTCTGTTAAACTTGTATTTCCATGTACATAATTTAAAACACTAAGGAGGATCTAATTTCAGTGTATTTAGCCTGTTTAGTAAAGGGCTCGTTCCAAATACAGATTTATAATCAGCTCACTTCAGTGTAAGAAATTAACCAATAAACTCCAGAATTCAAAATAGAGCGATTCGATATCTAGACTTCTTACATACCCTAAAATGATAATGTTTCACAACAATAATTTGGAGACATTGAAGAATTCTAGAACACCTTTTGCATTATCAAAAACAGACTAACAACTTGTGCAGGTCTAGGAGGCACCAGTCACACTGTGTTCTGTGTACGGGCCTCTTTGAGCACAACTGCAGGGGGCATGCATGGTGGCATGGTGTGCATGGTGGCACCTGGGGCCGTGTAACTCAAGACTTCTGTTAAAAGTGTCAATTTTGAGTATGGTTTGCTGTATCTTTGTTGACCAGACTATTTTTTTCAATAACTCATTCACCACCTTTTTCAGTTTTCTAATAAATATGCCTCTCCACCCCCTGCCTTTTTTTGCAGTCAGCAGGATATTGTGAATCTACAGAGATCTTCAGTGTTTCTTTAATTTATATTTGGCTTTTTATCAAATTTTGATTTATATGATTATATTTTATATGGGTCCTTGGTATTTATTTAGGCATTTTATTTTAAAGGTACTTGCTTCAGATATGTCAATCAGAAGAAAACATTTCACAATGAGTAGATGAACCTATTGAATAGTTTGAAAAAATAAATTATTTAATCCAGTGTTAAGGTTAAATTCTGGTTTTCAGTGTGATTACTCCCCAGGCAGTAAACTTCCCTTCGAGTATGTGTGTGCAGGGACTCACAGTGGCATAAGCATGGGTTCATTATGCTTTAACAGAGACCTAGAAATTGGAACAATATAAGTTCTCTTTAAGGCTGATGCTGAGCTTTTGAAAAAGATGAGTTGACTCCATTGTACCGTTCATAGAGCTCTGCTTTCTGTACAGTTTGTGAAGTGGCATTCATGGGCTTATAAGAAGACTCTTTCAATAATCCCTCCATTAACATAAGGTTTCCTTGTTTAAAGAAAAAGACAAAAGACTGGGAAGGGATGAGAGGTCCTATTCCTAGCTTGTGCCATTGGAAGTTGCTCAGTGACTCTTATTGTGGAGTGACTCTTTATTAAAGAGTACCTGGGGGGTAATTTTATATGGTACTATCTTCTCTTTCAGCAAGCCTTCCAGTGCACAGGGAAGGGGAGAATTGGGAATTGTTTGGGGAATTAGGACAGTGGAGATAGTCTGTCTAGGTTTAACCCAGCCCAGCTTCCTCTTGAGCTATATAGATAATATAGCTAGCAGAACGTATTTGAGCAGCAATCTTAGAATAAACAGCTATGCAAAATATTTCATTTTAACCTGATACAGTTCTTTAAAAGTTAGATGTAAATCAGAACATCATAAATCTACTGAAGGAATTTATTTTAAATCCTAAGATGAATGCTTTTAAAATAGGAAAATACAGTTCTAAAATATGAATACTCTGCTAAACCAAATGAGTAATCCCCAAATTATGAATTTTATACATTTATGTATTCATCTGCCTGATCACTTAAAGACCTGAAGTGGCTTTCAGATGCGCTGGGCTGATTGTGGAGCTTTGGTGTGAAATGCTGTAGCTTCTTTGGTCCTACATTTTTTTCTTAGTGCTGTTCCTGGTTGGAAAGTCTTTTAAGGCCATATCCTCACAGCCAATGTAAAATGGAGGATTGAAATAATAATCTGAATAATTGTGCTTTAAAAAAAAGAAACTTGATTTTGTCCGATTCATCTTAGTAATTAAAAATGTTGCTGGAGGGTTGTAGTAGGAAAGATTTGCCTGAACTGTCTGTATAATGCCTATGTTATACAAGAAAAGACCAAGGATCAGGGAATCTTACCAGCAAATTCAATTCGAATATGCCAGAGGTGAATGTATCCGATGTACTTGGACTATGTCATCTTGGTTGATCAAGATGTATTACAAGATTCAGATTTTAAACTGCTCCTCTGCTTTGAACTGGATAATGGGTTAATCATAAATCTCGGCCCACATCTGTGGAAATTGTGGTTACTAAAAGTATCATTTATTGGGTCTAAATTTATCTGAAATGGATATTTCTAGATGTATTTTGCACCTAGGGAAAGCGTCAAAAATATTTCATCTCAATGGTTTAAAAAATGGCAATGATCCTGAAATTGGTCTGCTAGTGCATGACAAGTATTAGCAGCCCTAATGGTTTGGGTTTGGGACTTACGTGTTAATATGGCTCTCAGCTAAATTCTAGATATCAGCTCAGTTATTAGTAGCAATGACATAGTATTAACCCGGCTGGTATTATTTGTTAGTAAGATCATATGCATTTCTTTGATTGCCCAGCTAAATTATAGCCTCCCAGAGGATTTATAAACTTCATACACAGTGCTCCATAAAATATTAAATATATGATAGAAACTCAATAAATATTTGGTCTATGCATGCTAATATCTATTAATTTGGACTTCTATAATTCATTCTTTTGTGAACTGAAGTAATTTTTATCCTTAACCTCTCTTTCTGAAGAGCTAGGAAGCTGAAATGAATGTAATTTTACTTTTACCTGACAAATTCTTTTTTATTACTTATAAAAAGGATACAAAAATTTGCGGTGGAGCTGTGAGTATGGCACTTGCCAGGAGAGTGTGGCTTGTGATTGTTCACCTTCACCAGCCTCCAGAGCCACGCTCTGAGCATGTGGGTGAGATGGGATCTCTCTGGGTTTCATCCAGCCATGGTACTCCAAGCTTAAAGCTTTTCCTCTAGCCATAAAAATTCCCTCCTGGAT